TTAGTCTTCATGACTATATATTTTCTTCTTTATTATAAATAAAGAAAAAAACAAATAGTCACAAGAACTAAAATACTTGTATCTTGCGATCTACTAAGCCACTTTAATTACAAAACACACCCCTACATCTTTATTTAGAAGTTAAAAGAAGGTTTGCTTAGTAAAAAAATATGTTTCTTATTTAAAAATAATTAATTATATCTTTATATTCTAAAGAATTTTACTTTATATATAAATAAAATATAAAAATATATTTTATATTATTCAAACTCAAACTAGTTTGCAAACTTCAAATCAAATCCAAATCAAATTTATAAATAAGATTTAGTTTAGTTTGAGTTTGTAAAAAATAGATTTGAGTTTAGTTTGAGTTCAAAATTGATAAAATTTTAAAGTTTAATTTGGTTTGAGTTTGGAGTTTGATCAAATCAAACTCAAACCAAATCAAACCTAGGAGCACTAGCATATGCTCTAAAAGTATGCACCAAGGAGAGAGCATCCTTTAGGCACCTAAAGCCTAGACAAACCAACCCTTCCGGGTTGCCAGCTGGAAGTAAGGGAGGGACCGATAAAGAATCCGGGTAAGAAGATGATACCAAATGCAAGTATCGGAATTGTTGTGAACTTTAATAAGGGCAAGAAGTAGATAATACAAGGGGTTCAATGGTTAGCCTTGACCCGAGTGCATAGGTCAAGCTGTGGCGTAAAATTACTGAAGTCTGAGTAAGGCACATGAGTGGGACAAGTGCCCTAGCAAAAAGGCAAGCATGGTCTTCCGTTGATCCAGAAGAGAACCCCCTAGCAAGTTAGGAGCCGAAGGGGAGGTAAATCAGTAGTTAGACAGTTACATATGGGCATCTCTGAGCAGCCGTGTAATGCTTTATGCAAAGATGGGGTGCAGTGGTCTGGGAACTACAACACCACAGGGGAGGAACCTGGGATATATATAGAAATGTATATGGGTGCTGTTCAGCAAAAAGGGGGAAATTGACATTTTGGCTAAAAAATTTTTATTAGCTCATTAAATGAAGCATAACTAGTTATATTATTCTAATCAAAAGTTTTATTATGCTAGTTTAATATTTTTTTAAGTTTTACATATGACCTTTACCATCTAGTACTGTATACAATACCCAGTGTAACATGATTTTTACATAGTGAAAAATTAAAAATCACGTGTATTATACAATTGTTTACGTCATATAGCACATGTAAATAATATTCTAAAAAATTGATTTACATTATTTGTTATCGGGTATTGTTTTGATTTACAAAAATGTGATTTTCTCAAAATAATCTAAAGGTCGATTTTCTCCTTTTTGTAGAACATAGCCCATATAGACTAGACTGCTGTACTACCATATAATGTACTTAACTATTCGGATGTAATAAAGTGGTTACTTTTAAAACAAAAAAAAATAATAATAATAATAATTTTTAATTTTATTTAAAAAATTGTAAATACTTTTCAAAATTTCAGACAAATTTGTCTGGAATACAGTTTAAAGAATATATTATAACAAAGGTATATTAAGCCATATATACACTTTTGGTATCTAATTTAAATAGTCTGCCCAGAGCATTAGTATTATGATAAGGGTTCTACACTATCTGCTATACCTGTAATCTATTAACAAGATTATCTATTTAAGCCTTCTAGTTTTAATATATCTGGTCTAACTCTACTTAACATAGTGTAACTTACTATATAGATAGTAGATTTTGCAATACTACTATATTTACTAGCCAACTTAGAACACTTAACTATTCTCAAAAGTAAATCCAACAAAGTAGTATATATCCTACATATGTATTCATTTGCATGTTTGATAACTTTTTTTTAATTAGTATTTGTTATACTGCTAATACTAAGTTTATATCTCAAGCCAACTTTTGGGTGCTGCTATAACCCAATCTGTATCTTAAGCTACAACTTTTCTAATTAGTTGCCTATTACATATTCATTGTTCTTAATTAGTTTACAACAACTCTAGTACCCACACTTGAACCGTCTTCTTATCTGAATTCTTTATTAGTCTCTTCTTTACTTCTAGCTAGCAACCTGGAAGGGTTAGTCTGTCTAGGCTTTAGGTGCCACATAGTCACTCTCCTCTTGATCTATACTTTTGAAGTATATGTCCTTTTCCTCTAGTGCATTAGTCTGGCAGTTCAGCTAGTATATCCTCTACTTAAGGACCTGATCGTTCTGTTCTTCAATTTTGGGCCTTGGTTCAAATTAAGTCCTCCTGTAGCAGTATTGGCAATTTCAAATAAATATGATCAAATGACCAAATGAATTAGTCATTAGTCATTTGATCATTTAAAAGTTAAAATAACCTAGTAATATGAAATTTATGCAATAGGAATTTGTAAATTATACGTGTAGTATATGTAATATATGTGATTTGCTGATAATTAAGATTTAAAAGTGCAATTTAGTGTTTTTGCAAATTTTACTTGTAAAAAAAACTTGTGATTTTTTAAATACTGCACTTAACTAGCAAATTAATATACAATTTTTAATCAGAAAATAAATTAATATACAATTTTTTAACCAGAGAATATAAATATAATATAAAATTATGCAATTTAATGTGATTTGGTTTAATTACACTAAATTATACAATTTCTGTGTCTCTGAAATGACCTAATAACCTAATATAAAAATTATAAAAATAAAAGGTGTATGATATATGTTAGAACAACTCTGCTTTATTAGTATTGTAATAACTTACTTTTGAATTATTAAATTAATCTAGATTTTTTTATATTCTACTATATTGTAACTATCAGTTGAAGAAGCAATTATAGATATTAATTCAATTTAGCTCTAATAGTTCTCTTAATTCAAAATTTATATACTTGTATATGTAATATAATACTACAAAACTCTTAAGCTAAGTACTTATATAGCTTAATTTAAAGTTAATTTATGAAAATAATAAGGGTCTGATATAGAATAATGGGTCTATTATACTCAAATATCACATTTGCAGATCATCACATACATGGAACGTGTAACAGAAAAAAGATCATCGCCGCGTACGTAAACAACATTACACAAATCACTATAAATATTTATTTAAAATCAAGATGATCTTTTTTTTTTGTAAACAACAACCTTTATTCTTACGTTAGTATTTTCTTTATTTTATTTTTTTTAATATTAGATATACATGATTATTAGTTTACCGGTAGTAAAAAATGATGTTTTCGTCTTTTCCTGATTGGCAACTAGGACCAACAGTGATTAGACGACACAGGTTTAAACTTGTGAATTTCGATAGCGCTACTCGTTTTTTTTTTTTTTTTTTTTGTTTTGTTCTTATGATATTTTATCTAGTTAAATTTTTTTAACATGTTGTTTATAAACAAATTATTAATAATATTTTTTTTATTATTAGATGGATTTGGAGAAAGATATTGATTCAGTCGTTTTTACCCTTCTTGAAGTTAAAAAAAAAATTAATAACAATCAATACTTGTGTACTACATGTTCAAGACTAAAAAAAAATTGTGAAGAGGCTTTCTCTAACTACAACAAAGGTTTGTCTCTGGTTGAAAATATAAAAAGATTAGAAAGAGAATTAAGTGAGGTTAAGATTAGTAATAAAAATTTATCTAATAGAAACATTGAATTATTAGATAAATACGAGTTGGCGGAAATATTTAAAAATGATTAATTTTTTTTTTAATTTTTTTTAAATTTTTTTAATTTTTTTTTTTAAATTTTATTTTAAAATTTGTATATTTTTTTAAATAAATTTATAATAAAATAAAAATTTTATTAAAGGAACGAGTTAAATATTTATTAAGTTATTTATTTATATATTATTTTTTAATGGTTTACAAGATTTTGATTTTTCTATATTTGAGAAAACGAAGTTCGACTTGTCTTCTATCGTATGCATATAATTGAGCTACTTTATCATCCAATAATAATATGTAATCCTAAATTTGTGTATAGAATAACTCCATATAAACAATAAACTAATCAAAAATTTATAATAATTGGTAATTACAAATTAATTATTGAAAAATTATTAATTAAAAAAATATAAATATGAACAGTAGTTGAATAAATAAATTTAATAAAGATGAATCAATATATTAAAAAAATCGAAACTGAAGCAGAACAACTTCTTGATGAATTTAACAATTCATTTATTAAAAATCATCAAGATAAAAATAAATTACCAAAAAATAAAAAAAAAATAGAATTAGTCGAAAAGGAACAGAGAGATTTCATACTTCAATGTTTGAATTCATGTGTCGATAAATTATCAGAAAATTTTACTTATTGAGCAGCATATTATTTAGAACACGGTTATGGTATTGAATATACCGATGATAATGAAAGACAGAAGGATAAAAAAAGAAGTATTGAATTGTATAAAGATGCCGCTGATAGATCACATCCCGATTCAGCAACTCATTATGCAGTATATCTAATATCTAATTTTAAGAAAGATGATAAGGAAGAAATAAAGATTAAACATAAACAAGATATTCTTCATTATCTTCATATGGCGGCCGATCAAGAAAATTCTGGTGCTTACTATTATCTGGGTGATATTTATTATTATGGTAAACTTGGAATTAAAAAGAAAACAGGATTAGGAAGAGCATATTTAGAAGCTGCTATCAAATTAGATAATATGAAAGCATGTAATAAATTAATTGAAATTATTCAAGAAAATTCTCGATTAGAAAAAGAATGTGATAATTTAAAAGATCAGATTCAAAAGTTGAAAAATAGTTGAATTGGAATTGGAGAAATAAAAAAATATTAAAAGAATAAATTATATTTTATTTTTTTTTAAATTTATTAGTATAATTTAAATATATTTTCATTTGTACTTTTTAAAGTAATATCAGGATGATATAAATTATATATTTTATATAAAGTTTAATTACGTATTTCATTTAAAATAAAATCCATTTTCCTCTAAAGATTGGCTGGCCACTTTGATTAGATTTATTTACTTGATTTGGTTAACATGTCTAAAAATGTCTTTATTTTGGATTTACAACGAGTATCTATTTTTAGTTATATTCAGATTGGTTATAAAGAAAACATTTCTGCAACTTGAACAATAATAAATTTTATGTATTTCTTACAAGCTTTATATATTATTTTATTAATTGATATTACCATGTTATACCTTTTGGAACGAACCGAATCTGGACGATATGCTCCTAATCAAGAAGAACATTATCCAAGTCGATTACCTTCTACCCGCATAGAAGATTCTTTTTCAGAGTTATCTGTTCTAGATTCGCCACCTCTACCTTATCCAGGTTTTGTGGAAATATCAAATTTGTTTACAACAGCTCCAGAAGGTATTTAAGAGTCAGAATTTTTAAATTTGATTTTTAATCTGTGCAATTTCAAATAACAAATAAAATAATTTCAGAGCAGGTTATTTCTGATGGTAATTATTATTATTTTATTAAAATCTGTGTTAAAAAAAATTAAATTATTTATTTTTAATAGAAGCAAGAGAAGACATTACTAATCGTGTTGCTCAGGAATTTGAGCAATATAATCACGAGATAGTTTCTCTCAAAAAAACAAACAAAAAACTTTTAAATACTGTTTCGCTCTTGAAAAATAGTATTTTAATTTTATCCTTTTTTCATTATATTTTTTATCGTGTATATTAATTATACACATTCGTCAAATTTAAAACTACTTTCCGAAAGAGTCAAGGTTCAAATTTGAAAAAAACTTTTTAACGATTATTTAAAATTGGTTAGAAATCAATTTAACGAATTTGTAGATTTGATTGTTTTTAAATTAAATTCAATATAATAAGTATCGGCAGCGATTGATACCATAATAGTTTAATTAATACTGCTACTTTTACGACTTCTTAATGTCATCATGCAAAGGAATGCTAGGCATGTAAAGTGGAACTTAAAACATTAACTAAATCACAAAACTTATACTTTACATGATTTGGCTTAAATTTAAAAATGCTTAATTTTATCAATTCAATAGGTGTTTCAATTTTCCATTGCAAATTTCTAATATCAAACGAGTGTTATTTTTTTAATTGTATATAGATATGAAATTAAAAAATTTTTTTGTTTTTGATTATTAATTTGATTTTTATAAAAAAAAATGAAATCAGATTTTATTCTGTAACTTTAATGATGATAAAATTAAAGATTCGTGAAATTTGAATTGGATTTAAATGCAATTATGTTATTGCAACGATGAATTTAAAAAAATTTAAATGTATTGTTCCGAATGATGAAGAAATCACCATTTTAAATATTTTTTCGATTAAGAAAGAAGTTTTTCAAGAAATGGAAAAGAGTTCGTTAACTTTCGACGAAAAATTTATCAAAGAATTTATCAATTATGAATTTATTTTTGGTTAACAGTATCGAAAATCGAATTTTGTCTATTGTTAATTTGATTGGTCATTAAATAAAAGATTGATAACAAATTCTCAATCTTTTTTGGTTAAATTTATAAGAATTTTCGAATTTTGGAATTTATATCTTGTGTAATACAAATATAATTTGGCGTAATTTATATTTATCTGATTACAAAGAAATTATTTGTTAAATATTTGATTTTACATATATGTTGTAAATCATTTATTAGTTTTTTAAATAAATTTAAACATATCTAAAATTGGTATTTCTATAAACGATGTACAAATTACACAATATTTCATCGATTTCAATATTAATTAAAAATTGGAAAGTATATAAAGACGATAAATTGCTATTTCGATTATTCACCTTTTGTTTTTATTATGACGGATATTTGAAGTATACAAACCCATGAAGAAGACCTAATATCGATAATTAATTTTATTGATTTAGGCCATGTTAAACTCGTAAAATATCCAAATTCGAAGAAGTGTAGCTGTTTATACAGTGAATAGCGTAAGGTTTAAACTAAGCTAGTTGAGCTTCCCCTTATGCCTTGTATATTTGAATTTGGAGAATTTTATATTTGTGGTTTTACTTCATATACTTGAGTAAAGACATTGGTCAAATTTAAACGTTGAGCAAAGTAGTCAAGGTTTATAACATTATAGTCTAGGGACCGTTATATTCCTCCCTTGAAATAGATGAAAGCTCTTTGTTATATTGTTTTAGGAGTCATATAATATGTAACCGCCACGGGGTTGACTCTGGTAATACGTTTTTAAACGTAGCTAATAACATATCAAACTTTTTATTTTTTATTAAATAATTAATATAAATTAAACAAAATAACCATTTTTATTACCACTTTTTAAATCGTGTACTAATTTAAATTCTATAGCTAATTGTTTAGCTTGTTCATTAGTTCTATTTTCATTAATATAAAACAATTTTTGTTTATATTTATTATCTTTCCAACTAAATATCCAAGCTTTTCTTTTAGAATCAAAATAAATTCTATTATATCCAGATTTATTGGTTTTAAATAATTTTGTGTTTAAAGCATTTTGAGATTTTGTTGTTTCTCGTAAATTTTGTTTACGATTATCAAGTCCGTCATGGTTAATATGGTCTGTTATTTTCTAATTAGAATGGATTAGTTGATGAAAATATTTCGTTGTTTTATTTAAATGTGTTTTTGCATAATATAAATTTTTATGTTTATGAGCATGCCAGAGATGATTTTTTACAATTTGATAATATTTTAAATTAGTTATCATAATTTGATTTTGAGTAAGTTTGACTTGTAAATATAAATTTCCATCGAGATCTTCAACATAACGAATTTGATTTTTAATCTTTCCTTTATGTTTCTTTCCAAAGTACCAGTTTGATACTTGAGTAAAAGTCTCGTACATGTTTAATTCATTAATAAAGATATTATTAGTATTTTATAATATTTGAATTAATAATTATTTAATAAATAAATAAATATTTAATAACTAGTCGAGAATCTCATTTTATTAAAATGAAGTTAATCAAATTGATAATTATTTTATTTTTTCTTGTGTTTTCTTGTACTGATGATAAACATAATATTAATGAAAATAATGATATAGTTTTATTAATCAAAAAGATAATTAATGAAACATTACATTGGAAAAACGAATTAAACTGCAAATCACTAATCATAAATTATACTGATAACGATTTCGATATGAATTGTTACTATGAAGGATGTGAAGATATATATTATTAATGATTTGTTACCCAACATTTGTATTTCTTAATAGAATTCTTTTTGTTGATTAAGAAATTTTCTTCTTTCCAATCAAATCCGATAATGATATTTTTGATATTCTAATTATTAAAAATTTCATGGGGAAAATTTTCTGTAAAAATGAAATATCTAAGATTACACAAGATAACTTTTAAATACACTAAAGTTTTTGAATCTTTAAATTTTTCATAAATATTTTTAATATTGTCAACATTTGTATTAATAAAGCTAAGACATTTTAATTTTTTCAACGATCTAAAATAATCCAATATTTTCTCTTCTTTATCAGTAAATTTAACATTTCTGAACCTGATATTTGTAATATTTTCTGAATTGATTTTTTTAAAAATTTGGAGATTGGTAGAAATACAAAATGAAGAATGATCTCATTTTCCATATCCAAGGGCGATTCCGTATATATTATTGAATTTAAGTAAATCACTAGGGCGGGTGGTGTCCAGATAAATATATCGAATATGTTTTAAATTATGATTAATAAGATTGGTGTATTTAACTATAAGATTAGTGATATTAGGATTTATGTTTGAAAGTTGAAAATAGGTAATTTTTTTTTGAATGATTGAATATTAATCCGAGAACGGTTTTTGTAACTACTAGGGTTTTCCAATCTTTATGAAGATCAAATTCACATGTAATAATTCGGTAATCGATTCCACGAGTAACAATCTTAAAAATATTATCAACACGAATTTGTCTGATGTAGAATAAATAATCAAAAAGAGGTTTTTCCATATTATCAAAATAAGAAGAATAAATTTTAAATAAAATACTTTCTTCGTTGTATTCAGACAAGTAATAATAAATTATTTTTTGTAAGCTCGTATAGTTTCTTCCGACACATGGATAAAAAGGATCTTCCCATAAATAAGGAATAGAAGCTACTGCAAATGATCTCGAAACCAAAACATAGTCTAAAAAATTTTCACGATCGATATAAATCAAAAATGAAAAGATTATTGAAAGAATTTTGAAAGAAGATAACAGAGATTTTTTTAAAGACACTAACGAATTCATTTTATTTTGGTAATTTAAAAGTTACATATTGATAGTTTAAATATTTATACATTTATTAATAAAATTACAAATGATAAATTAAATTTCCCTTTTCTTTTCTATCGATAATAGAGTCACCACAGACAAGCTGTTTACATAAATATACATTATCGATTAAACAAAAAATATGCTTATCATTTTTATGGTTATGGTTATCATTTTTACATAAATCATATGCAACAATATCTGGTGAGAAAACACTCTCAGTATTTGTAAATGATTTCATTACAGAATTTTGTAGATATTTTTTTTCTTTACGTTTATCATACTCTTTCTGATTTTTAGATTTTTGTTCTTCAGACAATTCATGTAATGTTTTATTAATTTTTCTTCTGTCAACATAACCATATTTTTCATTTGTTCTGCTTATAAGATCGTTAAGAGATATGTTTAAATATTGATATCTGTCAATTATATTCTGACTTATGTTAGACATGTTGTTTTATTTTCGTAAATTCAATATTGAAATATGTAAAATTTGGTATCTTTTATTTATAATAATTTGATTAATAAATAATAAATAATAAATAAATAATTCAAAGTTCATAAATAATGTTATCATGATATAAAATTTTTAATGAGTCTAAAATAGTTGAATATATTTCGATACATGAATTATCTTCAGATAAATCTAAAAATTGACTATCTTTGGTCTTGATTAAAATGGTAAACCCTAACGAATTTAATTCACTGATTAAGATAGGATTTTTCATATCGTACATTTCCAATTTTGTAAAATTTTGATTTTCAGTAAACATAAAAGTTATGTATTTCTTTTCGATGAAATAATGAAACAAATATTTTTTAGAATTAGAGACTATATCATCATCTTCTTCTTGTTTTAATTTTATTGTATGATCAGGGTTTGCTTCATAATAATCATTATAATAATTATCTTGATTATAATTAAACCTAGGTGGTTTATAATAATATTTTTTAGATTTATAATGATACGGATACATTTTAAAGATAATTTTTATTTATAGATATATTTATTTAAATATAAAAAAATACATAAATAATAACTAATAATTATTTATTCTATTCGTTTAAATTATAAACTTTTGTTTTTTTATGGAAATTTTCAATTACAAACAATTCTTGATTTTTATAAAGAGGAGTTGTAATTTTTTTTCCATTATTATATGAAATTGTAAAAAATCCTGTAAATCCTCTTATGATAAGATCATTATCAATTTTTTAAACTTACCATCTTCGATATTAATTCTTAAGCTTTCAATATTATTTATATTTTTTGTTAAAAAACTTTTTAAATCATATAATGTTAAAAAATTTTCTTGTTTAAGTAATAATTTAAAATCTTCAAAATTAGTTTTGTTATATTTATATTCCATATCATTAATACTTTTATCAATATTGTCATCTTCATCAATTTTTGGTTTCTTATTGTCAAAAATTTTGTTATTTTCTTTACGATTCTAATTGTTAATAAAATTTTTAGATTCTCTTTTTAATAATTTAATTTCATTTTCATAAATTTTGTATTCAATGTTATCAGAACCATCAGACATGATGTAATATTCATCATCTCTATTTTTTTTATTATCATATCTATTTCTTTTTTTCATATATTTTCTTTTTTTGACTTTTTTTAATGTATTTTTAGGTTTTGAATCCTCAATTTTCTCAATATCAGAATCAGAATCGTCACTTGAAATCACAAAGATTTGTAATAAATTAATTTCACGTCCACTACTTGTTTTTACAGAGATAGATTTTTCTTTGTCTTTGTTGTATTTGTTAATCAATTTGGTTTAAAATTTTTTTTCTATACTTTTTTTTCTATAATTGTACATATTGATATCATCAATAATTATTTTTTTAGTGATGGTGTTACTGGTTGTCTTGGTTCTCAATTCTCGGGATCGGTAAGATTTAATAAAATTTTGAATTGGAGATTTATTTTCAAGATTAATTTCAATTTTTTTTTCTTCTGCCTTTTTGAAAAAATTATTCATATATTTTTGAATATAATGTTTAATCATCTTATGTTCTTTTGTAAAATTTACAGTTTTATCATCATCAATATCGTAATAGTAGTATGAATTATTTTGCGAATAAAAGATAAAGATGATTTTATCTTTTTCTTGTAAAAA